TGTGTGTGTGTGTGTGTGTGGTTGGGGGGGGGCAATAGCCTGATAATCAAGCATCGAAAATGAGAGAGAGAAATTCAATGCAAACTAATGTGTTCCACACAATTACTCGATTAATAATTCTTATTCCATTACAGTGCCATGGAGACTCGGAGAAAGAAAGAGACAGTGGGAGGGAGAGAGAGACTTTCAGAAACAGGGAAGGAGACGAGAGAGGGAGGTGGGAAGGAGAGAGAGCACATCAGGCTAAGAGATCTGCAGTGGCTGTATATTTCCCAATGCCTAGTTAAGGCTGCAAGGCAGGGGTCAGGAAACTTAATTATAGCATAAGTGGATAGAAAATACAGAATGATAGAGAGAAACATGCAGTCCGATTGGAACGGCAAGGACAGGTTTAATACTATCTTCTCCTGTCTGCCTCCCTCCCACAATACAAGCCAGACCTGCAATCACACAAGGAAACAGCACATACCCCCTGCCTGACAATAACACTAATGCATATCAAAATTACATACTCCACAACTGCAAGGCATTTTGCATGGCCACTATTACTTTCCAATTTTGCGAGTTCAAGAAAATACATATCCCATATAATGGTGATATCACAGGAACTTATTTCCATGCCTTGTGTGTCAGAGCTTCAGATAAGCAGTCACCTGTGGACGAACATGTTATTAAACCATATCTTCTCTGATGGACCGCCTGAATAAATAATCTGTTTTTTAATTTTTAGGTCCACCATTAGGTCTCCACCCTCGCCCCTTTATTTATTTTCCCTTAATATGCGAAAGTCCAGATTTTTGAGGAAGCCACATGTGTACCTCGTAATTCCACGTCTTGATTTGGATTTCAAATCAGTGGGGCTCAATGGGCGGCCCAATACACACCGTTCACTGTGTGAGCACCGCAATCTATTTGCACTGTAGATTTGCATATCTGCTGCTCATGAAGCAAGGCTTTAATTTCCTCCTGCCGCAGATAAACATCACCTAGTTGGAGCAGATGGGCGGAGGAAGGATGGGGTCAATGAAGAAGAAGGAGGACAATGGCATTGGTTCAGAGACTGAATGGCCAGAAGTAATAAAATTGCACAATTTCCATATGCCGCCCTTTTTTTTTCTTTTGGGGGTTTGGATGGGGGTGTAATTTAGAATCAAAGAAATAAAATATGAGGGGATGCTGCAAATTCTGTGAGAGGATGACAGATTGGATGGAGAGGTGTGACTCACAATACATTCCTACGTCCAGTAGATCTGTGTATACCATAATCTTAAATATATATATATATATGTACATACAGTATATAGGCTTGGTCAATGTCTATATTGAATATAATTAATACTCCTCGTGGAGCTAGATTATTTTTCTTTCTACTGTTGGCACATTGTACTGATCACACTAGATGAGCGGTGCCACATTCTATGAATTAGAGTGTCAACTAAGCACCTTTCTTATGACAATATTACACACAATGGAAATGATTAATTAGCTTCAGATAGTGGAATTTAATCAGTGTCTGAGCTGGAATTCAGTTCACATGTAAGGAAGAAAATTGGACGTAGTGTTGGACAAAGTGAACTTTTCTTAATTTTCACTTTAACTTATAGGATGTGCATTGTGGGATCTCAAGACATTGTTGAACGCCATTTGTATTAGAGAGGGAGACAGGGATGGCAAGAATAGTTTGTGAATAATGAGCAGCTCATGCGGGAGTTATGTAAACCTCTTGTTATTTGGATGTAGGAAGCTTGTAATTAAAGTACTTCTACAGGGGATGGTTCCACTCACTGCTTCATGGAGAGCCGGGCGAGGCTGGAGGTTGCAGAGAGTTAGAGGGGGCGGACGAGGTGGAGAGAAGAGCACTGAAGTCTTTTATTAATTCCCGCTATCTGATATTTATTTATATATCAAAGACACCTATGTAAATCAGGGTTCCTGTGTCATGGATCCTGCTAATGACAGACAAGAGTAATTAATTAAAAGCAAATGCACATGTACACGCACATTATACGCATACAGACCCTCGTGTAACAAGTTCATCTAATTTTCAAAGACGCCACACACTCGGATAAGGCAAGGGGAGCGAGAGGAAAAGGCAAGAAATCTGCATCACAGTGTTAATTTAATCAGACTTCAGTAATACCTCTTCTTCTCCTCCCTCCCCAGGCAGCGTGCGGTTTCTCTGCTAGCTTGAGGAGAAGATGAAGGGAGCTTTCAGCCTCTTAGAAGATGAGGGTTAAAGAACGGAGAGATTAAGGAAGTGAGAGAGCGACTGAAAAGAGGGCTGGGGATTATGTCATCTACAATTGATGTGCTCTCTTAATGTACCTTTAAACATGTGCCACTGGGGCCTGCTTTTATAATGTCTATTCACTCATAGGAGTGTGGGTTAAAGTATTAACCCAGAAATACTTTGCAACATATGTGTGGCTCGTGTATTGAGAACAGCTATCAGGGTTTATGTCACTTTGATATGTATACAGCATGTGGTGAGATCGTCTTTGTCAAAGGAAGTCCATTTCTGCTCGGCTTCCCATACACTGCCATGCATTGTACTGATCTCCATATCAAAAAAGAGATCCTTTATCGAATGATCATAGGGACAAAATGTGTCTTTATTCCACATCTTCAGCTCCAATGAAAATGTTCCCGCAATCTGGTCCAACTTGGACTATGAGCAAAGGATTTATTAAATTGACTGATTCTCCTCGAGCTGCTGAATGAATTGTCTCTCAAATTGCTGCTTGTTTCAACAGAATGACAGCGGAGGGAGTGTGAGGAAGATCTGCAGATCTTATCCATAAGAATGTTATGGGGTTAAGTGTACTTGGAGGTTTGTGTGCATGTGTGTGCGTACACACACTTGTCTCAGTGTCTGAGCTTCTGTAGTGTGTGCAACCATTCGATTAAATCCACAGCTATCACTAACAGGATTAGCTGAGTGGACAGCAGAAGTCTATCATTGCTTATTGATTTCCTCTGATTCCCATCAGCCCATCAGGGCAGGACATTTTCTGAGTGGCCCCGGTGGGAATCGCCGTTGCGGGCCGAGGTTAACACATTGCGGCTGATGTCTCTGAGATGCATCAAAGCAGGCACCCATCTCTCTGTGTCAGGAAAAGTCAAATAAGTCAAAGCTATCAGGGGCAACAGATGCTCTCGTCTCTTCTTCCTATGTCCAACTGAAAACGCTCCGGGATCAATCTAATCAATGAATCGCTAAGACAGTAGTGTTGATCTACAGCAAGTCAGCCTCTCCTGACACTGCAGAGGTCGAGGTATTTAAATCTCCCTTGTGGTCAATTTTTGTCTCAAACTAAACAATGACCTCATTGGCATTTTGTCCTCCTTTTCCAAATTTCTCCTGCTTACATGTCACAGTTTGTGCTAATTGGATCTGTACTTAACAGGAGGGTTGAACAGGAGTGGATGATTTAATTTGTTGTATTTCAACCGATAGTATGAACTGCAACAAGGAACGACTTCATCATTCCCTGATCAGGACGTTGTTCTTTAAGTATATCCCCACAGTTACTGTTTATGTTTATCAGCATAAGAAATACTTTTTCTGCAAAAGCAAATCGCAGTTTTATCTATGTTTTTTGACTTTCTCTATTCAATATGTGTATTGTTGGAAAAATTCAATTCATTAATATGATATACCACCAATTATCTCATTTGTACAGCAATAATAAAGTTGAGTTTCTCTTCAATCGTATCTACATCTACAATAGAAGAATTAGTTACTTCAGTGACGTTCACATGTCACAGGCAAATTGAGTTAAACATGAGTGGCAACAAGGTTGTATTGACGAGGATATCTGTCCCAAAGATTTCGTACACAAAACAAAAGCTCATTTGTTAATTGCAAGCACTATCCTCTGTCGCAAATGACTGCACTATTGTTTTCTTCCTGTAAGAATAAGAGATGAAGAGTTGATAGAGTGCAGAGCACGAACTACACAGCACAGAGTTCACCCTCAATGGTTCAGGTGTCAAAGGCTAAAAGACGTCGACGGAAATTTGTAAAATTAATAACAGCGTTTGTGAAAGGTGGAAAAAGACATGTACAGGGAGGGTGAAAAGTGTACCTCTGGATGCAGCTGTGACAGGATGAGATGAATTAGTCCAAAATATATGATGGTAATTGTGGTAATTGCTTTGCTAATTTCTCCTATTAATTTCTCAGAGTATGCGAAAGAGTGAGAGCATAATGGGTGAAATGTTTTAACCCTTCACTCCCTAATTCCTTCCCTCACCACCTCCTTAGGATGTCTAAATGCTCTCCTTGTCTTTTTTTAATATCTCATCTCAGCACATATGCTCTAACCTCTGAAATTCTCCTGAGCTCAAAAAATGTCTTTGTCTTTTGCTTTTCTCTACAACCTGAGGATTCCCAAGTGATATTTTTTTTTACAAATGGCTGTTAGTGAGAATATGATAATTGCAAAATGTCTGACAGTTTATTTAGATTATGGTTTAACAGGTTTGTTGTTCACCGTCATGACAAAATAACAACATAATTTTCATAATTTGTGAAAGGAAATGAGAAACACAACTGCAGCTACTGCGCATAAGTTTCAGATTTTGAAACAAGGGTCGAAATCAGTTTTGATATATAGCCTACTTCTGGAAATGGCACTTCCCAGCTGCTGACTAACATTTGAGGGCCAGTGTTGCTATGCGGTTGTGCTATCAACTCGCATGGTTTGCTACTGACTAGGATTCGGCGATATTACTTTGAATCAATATCATGATTATAAACTTTTACCTCAATTATGATTAATGAACGATTGATCTCAAATGAGGCTTCAGGGATCAGTATGCTATGCCAGACTACTTTTTAATTAGCTGGATAGCATCAGAAACCCTTCACCTCACACATTTCCAACGTTGGATTAGATAGGACTGTTGCTGCCTTTAAATGAGGTTGTGTTTCCTGTGCTCACAAGAAGAGTTCATTTGAAATCTTTCACGACCGTGGGACCTCGAGTTGCGACTTGTTTGCTGACATTTTCATAAATGGCACAGGCCATGGAAATGTTTTATTTTTTGGGCATGTTAAGTTATTATATTTTAATTTTAGTCATGTTGAGTTTATCGTCTGAGGAAAATTTTGAGAACCCAATGGCCTCATCTTTTTCCTCTCTGTCATACCTCGGCATTTCCTGAATTACGTTAACAACCTGCTAGCTTCCTAAATTGTCTGCCTTCATTGTTTCGAAGCAGACACATTACACATTGCATTAATATTAGCGTCCATGTTGTTGTTGCCTAGTAGCATCGATCTCACAACTTGATTGCCACTTGAATGCCCAAGTATACTGTGCACACAACTTACCATAGTGTAACCAAAACCTCACAAGTTCCATTCCAGGACATCATGTGTGCGACCGTTCCAGTAACCTTCTAAAACCAATGATCCGACCTCTACAACCATGTCACATCATGATTGGCTAGCTGTGCTGGGTTGAGAAAGGAGCCAAGGATTCGTCTTCTCTCTACAGATCTCTTTTTTATAGTTGTTTAACAATTATTTGCCCATTCGGAGAGACTGTCTGAAAAATATGCTGTTATCCTATGATTTAAACAATACTTGTCCCTCCTCTCTCAATGACCTTCAATTTTTCAATCAACCATTGAACGTGCCTGTTCAGATTAGGAAAGATGTTTGAAATCGAGATGGTAAGACAACATGTCATACCAACGAGTTTTGACAGAACATAAACAATTGCCAGCACAGGAGCAGGAGTCTATAATATTTTTAGTCCTGTTTTTCAGTCATTGAGTCGGTGTTGCTGCTGTCTACATAAGTAACAGCTCACATTTCCATATTTTTATTTTCTTCTTTTTGTGTGCATGACTAGGGTGATGGTAGTTACGCTCTGAGTGTGAAGGTGACCTACAGTCAATTTTGCGCCTGAACGCATCCTGTGTAGATGGTCACTTTGGACTGAAGCTGCTGCCTCTAATGGTCAGATAACATGCTGCGTTTGCTGTACAGACTATGAAATTAGTGCTGTGCCCATTGAAATTACAGAGATAAAAGGCTTAAGAAAGTATTTGTCCTAATCAA